ATTTAGCCTTGCTAGTTTCACTAATAACTATATACTCTAGAATATATGATTCAATTTTAGTCCAAATACTCGAAGAGCGTCTTATAGGACCTGGATTCTCAAACCATTTATTCAAGTGTGTCTCTGACATACATTAACGCATCTGATCATATCACAAAGTGAAGCAATTTACATCACGTTATAATGAGCCTCAGGAGAGCGATGTCATGTGCAGATTGATATATGGGTTTATGTAATATGTTTCCAAGTTTGTGATATGTAATATACCCTGTATATCTAAACATTTTGGTCCCGATTCTGTGGTTGCCCATTTTTGGTTATAGTTATGATTGTTAGAATAAAATCAAAGATCTAATACCAAATTATTCGAATAAAATGTATATTATTACGCAATTTAATTGAGTTGTTTTGTTGGGATTGTGAAAATATTATTCATTTCAGTTTCCTTCTGGTGGATTCTAGTCATTTTCATACCTACGATCACAAGTAGCTACGCATTCACAGATGGAGTATAAAAACCCTTACATTTTTCCCATCTCTCAAAAATCGCAACTCGAAAATCAATAATATCCATGGAAACAGAAAGATCCAACCCCACCGCTTCGCAAACGCAGTATGTACCAATTACTCTTGAAGAAGAAATATTTGGATCTCAATATACGGACACGCTTAATTCACCGGATGATGGTAATACCGCCAAAGCCACTGGATCGACAACCCCGCAAACGCCTCCTGAAACATGCTCTTTATGCAATAATTCTGTTCCATTATACAAACCCAATGGAGCCAACTTGGAACCGATTGCGAAATTAACATGTGTTCATACCTTCCATCTTAAATGCATTGTCAACTCCCTAAAGGAAAACCCGGATTGTCCCCGCTGTCGTCGATCTATCTATTCCGATGATGATGATGATGATGACGTCTTACACCCACAAGAAAAAAACTTTAAAGTGGAAAAGTTTCTCAAAGAATTATCCCTTTGGCCAATAGTATTTACTCAATTACCTGATCCAGAAAATGAGAAGGTAGAGAATTCCTCAACTCCACAAATGGATTTCCCTAAACTACACGACAAAATCCTTAAAGGTGAGAAGAATCTCGAAAAACAAACACGTGAGATGACCCACACAAAATATGAAATTCTTGACTCATATTACCTTCTTGGAAAAGCATTGGAGGATAAGTCGGCAGAGTTAAAGTCTAAAAATCCACTCCGTTCTGCCCAGATTATGCTTAATAAGGAAATTAGACGTCAGTTTCCATCCGATACTACTCGTAATATCTTTAATAAGAAAAAACGCTCAGCTCTAAATATTTACAGGATTTTTAGTAGTGAAGATATAGGCAGAGATAAGATACAACGAATTAGATCCTTCACCCCTTCATCCATTGGAAAACTTACTGATAATGAAATTAAAATTATTAAAGAAAGGAGTAAAAAGGTTCCCACATCGCATAGTGAAAAACAGACAAATGAGGGTGAGGAATTAGAATATAATACAGATATGGAGATTGATTAATTATTTTTATTTTTTACATACACACATGGGATGTGAATTAGAGAATTCATTTAGAAGTCTGATAAATAACCAATAAATATTCGTGTAAGGTTTTTTCTAACCAATGTAGTAATACATGTGATGTTGAGCTCTGAGGGATCAATCTCAGGTGATCGCTTTTGCATATAGACATGCCTGAAAAATCGATTGCATAATACGGATATTCGATCAGACCATTACTTAGTAATACATATCACATGCTATACCACAGAATAAAATCACATGCCTGAAATCGATTGCATATCACACAGAATAAATTAGAATATCATGGAACCTTTTATGCATGATGTAATCGTGTGACCTGCTGATTGCTACGATCAACGTATATCACAAAATAAATTAGAACTTTTCATGTATGATATATTCATGTAACCCGTTAATTATTACACAAATTCTAAATCTGATTAACTAACTCGTGCCATATGCATTTTCTTTGTGAAAAGTTTTCTTTTTGTTGTACATTGCATCGCTCCAGTTCCATATTCCCTGAATCTACCATTCCCATACCTAAATGAGACCAGAAATGAGCGGAGGGAACGTTTTAAAAGGACAGTATATCTACGTTATGGTTGTTCGTCGTTTTTACTTGTACCTGCGATTTATAATAACAATACTTTTTTTACACTAACCGAATACTTATCAGCATGACACGTTTAGTATCTAAGATTGAGGCACTTTTATTAGAAGAGCCATTAGACAGTCTTTGTGGTGCGTCCGCAGTTTACCTGGCAATAGAAAACAACCTTTTACCCCCTTTCGAGTATGTAAGAGGAGTGATAGACCGTGCAGTAAATTCGTCATTGTTGAAGATAGAAAGCAATGAACGAAAAACAAAAGTATTGGAAGTGTTATCCCAGGTTGGTAAAAATTCAGATTATGTGATACCAGTCATGCTAGCTCCAGCCAATATTTAATGATGACTATGGTAAATGTGAATATTTAGTTTTGGTATGTCATAGCTAAAGGTTGGGGAATGCCGGCCCGGAAGAGCTATGTCTTCTAGATGTAGAGGGTTTCTGCTCCTCTCTAACTGTGCGTGACTATCAACCAAAACAATGATGTTTCTATAGTTTCTGAAAACGCACATGTGCGGTGGTGGATACGACATAACTTGTAATTTTGAGATTAACTAATGTACCGGTACATACTGTTGCATTTACCATAGGTTGAGAGTGGATATATTAGCGTTCGAGGTCTTAAAGCACTCAAGGCGTTGAATATAGAAAAGGAATTGTACCCAGATCGTTCTCGAGAAGAAATAGACAAGAATATTGATAAATTAAAATATAAACTTGAGGCAAGTATAAAATAGTATAAAGCGTTATTACTCTCAAAACTAATAGGATTATATGTCTAGCATCCTGCATCGGAAATGGATATAAGTCTTTATGGCTCGCTTAGACAAACTCTCGAGAATGTGGATGTATCGAATCTTACGTGGCGTGATCCCGAAGCGAGTATGGTTATTAGCGACAACTCATTCATGGTAAAAAATCTAGGACGTAGACAGAAGGGTACTTTTTTGGAACCACGAGAAAATATGAAATGTGATATACCCGATTCAGTTACGACGAAGTGTAATGAATTTATAAGTAATTTTAATAATTCGAATACTTCATGGGTTATGAGGAATACTTCCCATGATAAAATGTGGAAAGAGGATGAAAATACGATAATAAAAATAACCGAACGCATTCTTGGAACACTGTTAAGTAATTTCCTGAAAAATGATATACGTTTTCACATGTTACTAGTACACTTTTATCTAACCACGTCATGTCGGTGTATTCTATGCATTAGTGGCGAGATATGGAAAAATCCCGCGTTTATGACTAGTACATCTCGCAGTGAACAAAGTGAAGGTACTTATATCACAGACGTTATAATTCCTTTGCTTCGATCGAGTTTGGGAGACGATATTGTTTGTTTAAGTACGGCAGAACGACAGAGTCTAGCAAGTAAAGCTAGACGAAATATAAGAGTAGATGAAGAGCGAATGGGAAAGAAGCCTGATATCATGGGATTTTTGAAACGGGATGAAAAGATTTTAGAGTTGATGTACGTCGAGTCTTCACGTATCATCTGTACTAATTCGAAAAAAGTAGATGACGGCGTAAAATTATGGAGAGAGACATTAGATGGGATGAGTTTTATAGATGCATCATGTAGACTAGTCAGAAACCAATTTGGGATCGTAGGGCTCCAGATTGCCGGTACGGACTTGCGTCTCAATGTTCTAGTAAAGGACTTGGGTGGTATACCAAGATATTTCCACTTAGACCATTCTGAAATTCC